CCCCCCGCCCCCCCGGAAGTATTTTTTGTCTGATGGCAGTGAAAAACTACTTCCCCCTTTTGAGTGGCTCTAGGCATTTAGTGGCGGGTGAACGAATCTCCCTGTGAAACAGGCTTATTTTCTTGCCGGCGCTCTCACGTTTCCCTTTCTGGAGGATTAGGGGGCGATTCAACCGGAGACCGGCCACATGTTTGTAGGGGGGTTTTGAGTGCCCCCGTAAAACTAGCCCCTCTCAATGGCCCTTTCAATGTGAGTGATTTAGATACAAACTCTTCAGCATCAAAAGGAGCGTGAACATGTGGAAGTCAACTTTAAATGCGGGTGACCAATCATTGGCCGTACTGAGAGGGTAAAACAACTTTCTGAAGTTGCCATCCATCTACACAGTGCACCAAACGTGAAATTACTGCCACAGGTCAGGCTTTCGCGAGACAGAATGTTTCACTAAAGGCGAGTAAAATCCCAGTGATTTATTAAACATGTCCAAGGTTAAAGAGAAAAGCTGAAGTCTGAAGCTGAGAATTCCATCATCCTTATCTGCCAAAATACATCTTCAACACCGGCCCCGAGTTCAAAAACCACCACAGTCTAAATACTACTGCGTGACATAGCAGGCCACCGAGTTGCCTCGTAGTAAGGCGATCTGACACCATGAGCAGAACAGTGGTTCCACTAACATCCAGATCCTTTTCACTTATCGCCAATATAGTCGTACACTCAGTGTCTGGGTTAGCCTCATTGGACACACCCAAACACCGCAGCACAAGCATTCAACATTAGACACAAAACCCACCTGAAAGTAAGATGAAGATGATAATTGCAGATTACAGTTTACGAACCAAGGAAGAGGTCTTTATTTCGTGCCGAACGGGCTGTCTGGCCAGTTCCTGTACAACAGGCACAGGAGGAAGAAAGAGGTCTGGTAGACCATAGTCGTCAGGACTTATTTTTGTTGCTTTATATATACCGTAATATCGGTTAGTCAAGCGTCCTACCCCACACCCAGACATAACCATGACGCGATGAAGAAAGCTACTGTGGAATTATTGGTAAATTGAGTCACGCGTACAAGTCAAAACAGATTTCGATGTATGTACGATACTATTGATAAAATTAGGTAATACTAAAAGACGCACAAACCTCAGCAATGAATACTCTAGGCAAAGAATTCCTTTGTTACGATTCGAGCAAATCGAATTCCCAGCTCAAGGTCAGAATACAAAAACAAGTTAATTAAAAGAACGCCGATCACGCTCTAAAAGAGGGTTACAAAAAGGGGGAATGGGAATGTCAACAGGAGCCAAATGTGGAAGCACTTGCGAGGAGGGCGTGGAGAATTCCAAGCGCTGACCAGCTGGATACAACAGCTACCTTGTATTAAGACGGACGAGCTACCGAAGGTGTGTACGTGTGATTAGGTCGCGTTTAAATCTTTCGTAGACAGAATAAGACATGGTACCTTTGAGTCCGAGTGCGCCGCAAGCAGCGATTTCCAGCTAGCGACAGTAGCAGCATACTGGCTTCGCCAACCAGACGTGAAATACGGTAGGAGAGTAGAGAGCAGAGTAATGGGGAATAGCAGGTCATTATTCAGATATCTGGAACTGGTTCTGAAGTCCGCCGTCGGTCCCAAGTGGACAGGCATAAAAGGATAGTTTGCGTAAAGAAATCACTCAATCCGGTGCGTCATGTGTCCCTCTGTAAATAACTGCGTCCCCTTGATCCCATTCGTCAGCCATGGATCTGAGATACGTTCTCAAGTCTCGTCCCATAGGCTTTGGTAAGAGTGGTAGAGTTCGACGTATCTGTTATTCGATTTGTGACCAAACTCCCACGCTTCAGTCACCTCTCGTTCGGCACAGTTTCGACTATTAACGTAGCAGAAAAGCTAAATATCCGTCTACGCGTGTCCTATAAGACCTCATCCCCACTAAACATACCAGGCTTCTATAAGGACGGCTCGGACGTGATATCTGTGAGAATGCCATCAGAGCCGCATTGAGGAACCATTGCAACCTGACTCTCAGTTCTCCAATGATTGAATCATCCTGTCAGCTGGCAACCTCTCAAGCCACGAGGTGTCTACGTACATCTACGGGCACAGCTCCAAGACGCCCAATTTCGACTTGCAATTTTAATACGATAGCGACTGCAAGGCAATGCGCAAATCCCGCTCAGAATGACGCGCAGAATAGCCAAAAACAGTTCACATCGAGAAGGACAGAAGCATCACCGCGTGCAGATTGCACGTAGGCTTGCGCTGGGCGCTGTGCAGTCCCCCCACCCTCTCCTTCCGCCTCTATCTTAGTGGCCGACCCAGTTTAGGTCCAGGCCCACAGGGCGCGCGTAGAGCCCGTGTTGAAGGCTCGTGCATGGCCGGTGCGGCGACGATGGCGCCAGTCGCAGTGTGCTGTGGTCGAGTTGCCAGGTCCCCACACTCCGTCCGTCCCCCCCTCCCTCCAGAGTCACGGACCTGGCTGGCGTAGGACAGGGCTAAAAAAAGACCTCGGGCGATAGAGCTCCAGAATTAGGTCACTACACGTGTTTTTAGGAGGTTGAGAGAGGTAGAGGAGGAGGAGGAGGAGGAGGAGGAGGAGTGGGGGTCACTGCGTGCCGACGCGGGCTCGCCAGTCTTCTAACCGTCACAAGTGGGGCATGGGGAGGGGAAGAGGGAGTACGCAAGGAGTTAGCAATCCCTTTGTAGCAATGACTGTGGCACGTATCTGCGATGACGGCGGTGAAGCACTAATTTTAATGACTCTTTAGTTGGATTTAACATGATTTTCCAGACTTTAATGCTCGACTACTGAAAAGAGTAGAGTTTTAGCTGTTTTTCAAATAAGATTGGTTTTTCAAAAAGCAGCATTCGTTAAACTTGTCATCCTGGCCTCTAAAAATATCAGTAGACCGATTGACTGAGTCGCCGTACTTGCCGCATACATTTTACAAATTTCAAATAATGTTGAGATTGTCCGTGGAGAAAAAACCTGACTTTGTCTCAAAGTAGCCAGAGTTATAGATTCGTATTATCGCAGTATAACGTAACACACAGAAGATGACCACTTGGGGAGGCGGGTCTGCGATCAGGAAACAAATGGCCCAATTTAGTTCCCCCCCTGCTGGATAGAGTGGAATAAAAGGATAACTAAACGGCCTTTAGCAACGTGTCAGATTGACCCATAGTACATTAAAAGGATCCTTAGGTTAGCAAACGTGAGAGAATCGAGTCGGTTATCCGAGGAAAGGGAACTGCTCATCGGATCGAGGAAATTGTTTGGCTGATGTTTCAAAGAGCCTGGGCGGCTCTCCATTATCAAAGAGTCTAGTGCAAAAATCGATCGGAATTTTGAATGCGCAGCCGAATTAGTTGGCCTTGGGCTGATCGATTTTTTTCTTCTTTCGCTGCCTTGGCCTACTGGCCGTCGTTTTTGAGTGTTGGTGGCCTCCTGTTTTATGTGTCGTCACCTCAATTGGGGTTAGTTGCGCATGTGTCCCCCTTTTGGGGGCATTGGTCGACAGGCCGTGTTGGCTCGGCATTTTTAGGCTCCGCATGAATGTCTCGTCCTCGTCACTGCGTATGTAGTGGCGTACGACTTTATAGGCCGAAGGAAGGTCTAGATGCCTGTTGATGGAGTTAGCATCTGACTACCATACCTCAAGTGTGAGACGTTCTGACCTTGATGTGCCCCGGCCTACGACGGCTGCTCCTTGAAGATCAAAACTGTCGCCAGTTTCCCCAGTGTGAGTCGCAATCTGTGAGTTTGGGTCTAGTCTTCGAGCTGCCAGTTTGAGCTCATGTAGGCGAGTCTGCATTTTCCGTCCGGTTTCCCCAACGTAGTTGCAGTCTCCATCGTTACAACATATTTGATGGACAAGTACTGGGGTTTCAGTGGGTGGCAGTATGTCTTTGGGTTGCATCAAACGGTGACGAATTGCTGCCTTTGTTTCTTGAACATTCGCGGGATCAAGTCTCCTGTGACCAAGAGATATCAGAAGACCTCAAAGTTCGTTCATGAAGAAAACTTTGGGAGATCTCCGAGCATGAACTGAAATTTACCCATATTGACCCAACTGTGAAAAACTCGGCTCCTCGGTGACCTTCGAAACCACGACAGGAAGGGGAAGGCTTTAGTAAAGGCAACGCTCTAGCCACCTAAGTTACGAGACCCCATAGGGCCGTTCAAATTGCTCTATAGCCAATCCTACTATAGACTGCTCTTCCGATTCGGTCTCCCAGAGTTGTAATTTTGGAATTTTCCCTTTTCTGGCATTATAGACTAGGTTTTGGGTGCATCTTAATGCTGCGAACGAGAAAAGGGGACAAAGAAAAAAGACCTTGTTTGTGAACTATCGGGACGTCACTTTATCCTCGACTTGCCTTTGCCTCACCTTCTTTCTTATTTGGGCGGCTCTATGCCTAAACGTAGTAAGTGTTGCCACTGCCTGGATATCCTATTAAATGAAAATTGCGGGAGTATTCGCTGCTGCGTGGTTTATTCATACACTTGCATTTTGGGAATAAAAGTCTTGGGCAGTTTCCCCGTGGGTGTCGTGCGTTGGCTTGACAATGCAGATCAGAATTTTAAACACTAAAAAATTTCGGGGACAGTACTTTTACCTGTAACTCCGAAATAGCATTCTTATGTTTCTTTCTTAACAAAGATATCATGCGCACATACTAACCTTTGCCCAACTGACTGGTTGGTTGATGGCGATTCCTGGGAAAACCTTTGAAATTGACAATTAACTCTCATAAAAACCTTATCAAAAATAATATTGAAAGCTCCGAGGGAAGTTTAGGTGATTTCCGGGTACTAAATCGTTAGCACGAGACCTACAGAAAGGTTTTCACACAAAGGTGGAGAATACAGGAAATCATCCGATCAAGCAATCGAAGACCAGTGAAGCCAAATACGTAATAAAAAAATCCGGCATCTCTGCTTTGCAGACAGTTTTGTCGACCTGCCTATGACTGCCTGGACCTTCCTGTCTGATCACTCATGCTGAAAAAATTGCAGGAGGAATGTCAGCAGAGGTACGTGAGAAATTGCTGGTAACGTCTTTCTCCTACTGCATCGTCTTCAAACCTCTCCGCCCCTTCCAGGACACGTCCTTTCAGGTGAGGATCCTAAATAAGCCCCAGATGAGCACATTTCTCGACTGTCTTATGAAATGCGCCCATAAAAAACTGCAGTTTCTAGACAATAGTTCTTTATAACAGAAGAATACATCCATAGGCATGGAAAAGATGGAAGACCGGGAACTTTAAGCAGGTGAGAGGTATGTATCATCGTTCTCAGTAAAGAAAGTTCGCTCTGTCAGCACTGGTCAAGTATCGCTTGCATGAAAGAGATCTGCTCTCACTATATCTCCGCCAGGAGGGAAAGTCACGTTATTAGGCGGCCATCCGTCTTGAACTAAACTTTTCTATTTTAGGACTCGACCCTCTAAAATGTCTTTAAGAAGTTTGAGCTCAAGCTATCATGCGTTCGATCAGTCTGAGAATAGGCCTGAAGGAAACCGGGACTACCTCCTGTCAGGCAGTTTGCGGATTAGGAGCCACAAATCAAATGGAGGTCGCAAGAGGCATACAGTTTCCCTAATCCATTCGAGGTGTCGGTTTTGGCTTGCTTTAACTTTATCTTAACGCCATGATGACCTATCTTGTCCCACCCCTTTCCCCGAGTGTCTTTTTTTCTGATCTTCGATTTTACCTTAACATGTGCTTTAGAAAATAATGAGCCACTGAGTTTGGTGCCGAAATTAGAGTACAGTTATTGACCTAACTCATGAAATGTGTCGAAATTTACGAATGATTGCCAATCACTCGCAAATCGACACTATTTCATGAGTCCGATTTCTATGTTAATTAACTACAAGTTTAAAAGAATTAAAAAAATAAAAGAATTGTTAAAGGCAGTGCTGCATTGTTTAGAAAGGCCGATTTATTTTGAAAAGCGCAATATCCCGAAAACGTCAGAAATGGCTCTAATTAAGTAAAGTTCGTTTGTAGATGGCCGGATAGATCTTCGCGTCCGCATCATCGAGACGAGGCTCCGTCTGGACCACCGTAAGCGGCCACGTGACAAATGAACCCAGAGGTCCAAGGCTAATTCTGGTCGTTCTTCCAATACACCAAAGTCGTGGCCCATAGTGTAGTTTGGCAGCCGTCTGGGATAGCCGAGCAGCCCTATTTAGGGAGGCACTGCTTGTCCACAAGACGGGGGGCTAGAAAATGTGCCCTACAAATTGCTGGTAGCCACGCTGTCTGTAGGCTGACTGTGGCCGCAGACAAAACACACACGGTCAAAACAGCCAAAACCGAAACAACAACAACAACAACAACAACAACAACAATCACTCTCTTCCTCTTCCAGCCTATTCTTCTTCTTCTCCTCCTCCTAGTTTTCGCCGCTGCAATCGCCAGACTGGCAGGGTGAGTCCGCTCACTCTGGCAGCCTGGAATGTTCGTTCCCTTTTAGACAATCCGAGGAACAACCGACCGGAACGGAGGACAGCGCTAGTTGCCCGGGAACTGGCGCGCTACCAGATGGACATCGCCGCACTCAGCGAGACTCGATTCTCCAAACAACTGGAGGAGGTGGGTGCCGGCTACACCTTCTTCTGGAGTGGTCGACCCAGGGCAGAGCGACGAGACGCGGGTGTCGCCTTCGCCATCCGGACCGACATCGTGGGACGACTGCCCTGTTTGCCGCAGGGCATCAACGATCGCCTGATGAGCCTCCGCCTGCCTCTCTGGGGAGGCAAATTCGCCACCATCATCAGGGTCTACGCTCCGCCAATGACCAGCCCTGACGCCACAAGGGACAAATTCTACGATGACCTGCACGCCCTCTTGGAGACTGTGTCGAAGGCGGATAAGTTGACTGTGCTTGGTGACTTCAACGTCCGCGTTGGTACAGGCCATACTGCCTGGAGGGGAGTGCCAGGTCCTCGTAGTCTCAACAGCTTCAACGACAATAGCCGGCTCCTTCTCTGCATCTGCGCAGAACACCGACTCATCTTGACGAACACCTTCTGCATGCCGATGCGAAAGAAGGCCACCTGGAGGCATCCTCGGTCGCGTCAGTGGTACCAGCTGGACCATGTCCTCGTCCAGAGGCGAGACCGGCGGGATATGCTGGCGACAAAGGCGATTCCGGGTGCTGACGGCTGGACTGACCATCGCCTCGTCATCTCGAAGATGCGTATTCGCCTACAGCCTCGCAGGAGACGTCAAAGTATAAGACCCCGAGGTAAGTTGAATATTGCCTTGTTGTCTTTGCCTGATCACCATGTCCATTTCAGCAACGAGCTAGCTCAACGGCTATAAAGCCCTCCAGCCGCTGTCGCCGCTTGCGCAGCCGCTGACAATAGCACCTCCGTGGAGAACCGATGGTGTCAGCAGCGGGACGTAGTCCAGTCGATGGCGCTGGCCATACTCGGTCGCACATGCCGTCAACACCAGGACTGGTTCAACGACAACGACACCGCCATCAGCAACCTACTCGCCGGGGGGAACCGCCTGCACAAAGCATACGTCGACCGCCTCACCGACGACAACAGAACTGCTTTCTACCGTTGTCGTCGCCTCCTACAACAGCGACTGCGCGAGATGCAGGACGCCTGGACTGCTCGCAAAGCTGAGGAGATCCAAGGCTACGCGGACCGGAACGAATGAAAGAACTTCTTCTCCGCGATCAAAGCTATCTACGGTCCGCCGACGAAGGGCACTGCCCCTCTCCTCAGCGCCGACAGCAACACTCTCCTGACTGAGAAGACGCAAATCCTACAGCGATGGGCCAAGCACTTCCGAGGCGTCCTCAACCGCCCCACCGTCATCTCCGACGCCGCCATCGCCCGCTTGCCGCAAGTGGAGACCAACGTGGACCTCGACCTCCCGCCATCTCTCCAGGAGACCATCAGGGCCGTGCAGCAGCTCTCCAGCAGGAAAGCACCCGGATCGGACGCAATCCCTGCTGAGGTCTACAAGCACGGAGGTCCCCTACTGATGGATCACCTGACTGCGCTCCTCCAAGAGATGTGGCGTCAAGGTGAAGTCCCGCAAGATTTCAAGGACGCAACCATCGTGCATCTCTAAAAGCGCAAAGGGAATCGCCAAGTCTGCGACAATCACCGTGGCATCTCCTTGCTGAACATCGCCGGGAAGATCTTCGCACGAATCCTCCTCAACCGCCTCAATAACCATCTGGAACAGGGCCTTCTGCCGGAAAGCCAATGCGGCTTCCGTTGTCATCGTGGGACCACGGATATGATCTTCGCCGCCCGTCAACTTCAGGAGAAGTGCCAGGAGATGCGGACCCACCTATACTCTACCTTCGTAGACCTGACGAAAGCCTTCGACACGGCGAATCGTGAAGGACTGTGGAAGATCATGCAGAAATTCGGCTGTCCGGAGCGATTCGTTCAGATGGTGCGTCAGCTGCACGACGGTATGATGGCGCGAGTCACTGACAACGGAGCTGTCTCAGAGGCATTCGCAGTGACCAACGGAGTGAAGCAGGGCTGCGTGCTGGCGCCCACCCTCTTCAGTCTTATGTTCTCTTCTATGATGATGGACGCCTACCGCGACGAACGCCCCGGGATCCGCATCGCCTACAGGACGGACGGTCACCTCCTGAATCAACGGCGGATGTACCTCAAATCGCGCGTATCCACAACCACCGTGCACGAACTCCTCTTCGCCGACGACTGCGCCCTAAACACCACCTCGAAAGAGGAGATGCAACGGAGCATGGACCTGTTCTCCGCCGCCTGCGAGAACTTCGGTCTGGTCATCAACACACAGAAGACGGTGGTGATACACCAACCGCCACCCACCTCAGCCACAGCCCCCAACGCGTCGCCGCAAATCAGAGTGAACGGAACCCAACTGCAAGTGATGGAGAACTTCCCGTGCGTGGGCAGTACCCTCTCCCACAACACCAAGATCGATGACGAAGTCGCCAACAGGATCTCGAAGGCCAGTCAAGCCTTCGGTCGTCTCCGAAGCACAGTTTGGAATCGCCACGGTCTCCAACTGAGCAAGAAGCTGAAGATGTACAAGGCCGTCATCCTGCCGACGCTACTGTATGGAGCGGAGACTTGAACGGTGTACACGAGGCAGGCACGTCGACTAAACCACTTCCACCTCAGTTGTCTTCGTCGCATCCTGAGGCTGAACTGGCAGGATCGAATCCCCGACACGGAAGTACTGGAACGGACGGGAATCCTCAGCATCTACGCCATAATGAGGCAAATTCAGCTGCGCTGGAGCGGCCACCTGGTGCGCATGGACGACGAGCGACTACCCAAACGACCCTTCTACGGAGACGTCGCGACCGGCTCTCGCCGTCAAGGAGGCCAAATTCGTCGATACATGGATAGTCTGAAGTCCTCCCTGAAGAGCCTGCAAATCAACCCCACCAACTGGGAGGAGCTCGCACTCTATCGACCGACCTGGAGGAGGACAGTGAAGACAGGCGCTGCGATCTACGAAGTCAATCGCATCGCTGCCGCCAAGGCGAAACGCGAAGCCCGCAAATCACAACTTCGCCCAGTACGCAACCCCGCCGCACAACCGCCTCCAACGTGTCCTCCATGTCAACGGACATTCCGGGCTCGAATCGGACTTGTTGGACATCTTCGGACCAACTGCGCCTCTCGGACTGCGTCAACCATCGTCCCCCGCCTGCCTCTTCCTCCTCCCCTCCGCCGCCAACTAACCCTGACAATTCTTCTGACCCACCACTTCCATCATTCTCCTCCTCCTCCTCCTCCTCCTCCTCCTCCTTCTTCTTCTTCTTCTTCTTCTTCTCCTTCTCCACTGCTCCAACGGCGGCCGCTCAGGCGACTGTCCCGCGCACAGCAACCGACACTACCACCACCACCTCCCCCGACTCCAGCGATGAGGATCAGGACTACACCTGCCCTCATTGCGACCGTACCTTCACCTCACACATCGGCCTGGTCGGTCACTTGCGAATCCATCGCACAGAGCCTGGCGAACCAGTGCGCGAAGCACCAACCTACACCCACCACGCTCGTCTCAACTGCCCACACTGCCCTCGCACCTTCACGCATCGCATGGGCCTTTTCGGCCACACGCGCATCCACGAGAGCGGCACTCCCGACACACCCACCACATCCAAC